CAGTACTCTACTGTGCAGAAAAAGCTATAAAGTGGTGAATTAATGTGGTAGACTATATCTATTATATATAATATGCAGCTTCTAATGGCTCCACAGAGCTAATAGAAGAAACCAACATGAATACAGAAAGAAGTCAATGGGGATCAATGGGATAAGAAGCAAAAATGCCATACATGCACACCTAGAGCTGAACTGCACAATTGATTCTGGACTGCAGGACTGTGGGACTTAGAGGTGGAGACAGCTCACTCCTCAGGACAGGGCTTGTTAAGTGTAGGGGTTTAGAATGGCATCTGGGATGTGGGTTCAGGAATCTGCATTTTAAAAAAATACTAAGGTAATCCTAACACAGGCAATATGTGGAAAATACTATGAAAATCACCTTAGTATGCTGGGTGTTGGGGGCATTTCTAGCTCATTTTGTATCCGTATCTTCACACATACACAGTCAATTAAGCACACTTGTTCAGCATCTAGTAGACACATCTTGTGATAATGGATGTGATCCGACACACTGGAGAGATGGCAATTTCATGAATGTTGGTAACTTCCCCTTAGTGAAACCCTTCCCACAGGGAACGAGGCCAGTGAAGAGGCACCCTCCAGGTAGAGCAAGGCTCGGCAGGACAGGCACCATCCCTTCAGTGCATGTTCCCACTGGGCGTCCCAGGACACAGCCATCTGACTTTGGCACAACTGACATGTGGTCTCTGATCTTCACGTGGTGTCTGAGACCACACTCACACCATCCTCCCACTACCCCTGGCTCTGTCTTGGTCCTCCTGGTGCTCTCCCTTCTTTGTCCTCCCTCAGTTGTGTCTCTTCTCACTTCCACCTATACCATTCTTGGTGTCCCACAGCCTCACTCCTCCAATGCCACCCACATGACACAGACTCCACCCAACTTCTCCCTCTGTGCGAGATTCTATAGCTACTGTAGGCTTTACACGGCACTCGAGTCCAGCAGGTACCTCAGCCTCAACTTACCCAAGAGTGAACTCCAGATTTCACCCCAAAACCAGCCTCCTCAGCCTCAATTTACTGGGGAGTGAGCTCCTGATTCCCAATCCTCCTTCCTAGCAGCCTCCTGAGCCTCATCAACCCTGAGGTGATCTGATTCACCACAAACCTCCTTCCCAGCCAATCCCTCCATCTCAGCTAATGACAAGCACACTACTCCAGCTGCTCAGGCCAAAACCTGCCAGGCCATCTGTGACTATGCTTTCTCTCTCACGTCCCAGACCTCATCCACAAGAAAAGCCTGGCCCTACCATCAAGATGAATCCAGAGGCGTGTCTCGATTCCACTCCGCCAGGCTGTCCACACTCACCATCTCCTGTTGGCCGATGGCAGTAGCTGCTCACCATCTGCCTTCACCCTCACCTCTGCCCTCAGTCTGTCCCCAGCACAGCAGCCTGGTGAACCTTCCAAGCCCATGTCAAGTCATGGCATCCTCTGCCCAAGTCCTTTAGCTTTCATCTGGCAGCTCCCTCACCAATGTGGAAAGCTGTCCCTGGGACCTCTGCCTTCCTCTAGCACACTCACATAGCCACTGGGCTTTCATGGAATTCCTGGATGTCCTCCAGCTCTAAGCTTTGCAGTGGCTATTTCCTGTGCTTGGGATGCCTTTCTCTTCAATCCACATAGTATCTCCATCCCCTCTGCCATCTTTGTGTACAAGTCTCCTTCAGAATGAGGAGGTCACCATCTTAACTCAACCCACAGACCCCCCCCCCAGCTGCCTGTCACCTCCTGACCTAAGCAGGTGTCCTCACTCAGTGCCTTCCTTGCCTGTGTTTGGTCTTGCCCACACCAGATGCACGCCACAGAAGGGCAAGGAACTTCTCATGGCTGTTGCTTCTGTTCATGAGATGCCCTAGAACAGCACCCAGTCTTGGTCTCACTCATGAACATGTTTGCTGAATGGATGAAGCCAGAAGTGTCAAAGCCACATGTGTCAAGGCTCCAGAGAACATGGTGGTTTCAGGCCATGGTATCCTGGTCACTAAGGAGACAGTGCTTTCTTCTACTTCCTCAGTTGCAGGTGTGATCTACACAGCTTTTGCTAAGCAGCACATCAACCACAGTGACAGAGGATACAAGGAGGAAGCTATGCACGCCTGCCTTGATGTACTCAGTGGGAAATGCACCTGTGGGTGTTGCGGCAGGCATGGCTTGGGCTTCTCATTCTAAAGAACCAGGCATAGAGTTACATGCCAACAAGGTCTTGTCTCTCTTAACAAGGTCTTTCCCTAAGGAAGGCCATGTCAGCCGCTCTCAACTTCATGTCTCAGGAGCCCCGATGACAACACAAGGTGGAAGGCAGCAGCAGCTGGAAACACGCCTCTGCCTGCTCCTGTCCTCCTTCTTCCTGCCTCCCTTGGCTTTATGACACCTAAAACCATGGGTGCATCAAGCCATAGACTCCTTTTCCTCCATGAGCCACAGTCTCGGCGAGAGCAGCTTCACCGGGCACCTGCACCACACCTGCAGTACAGGTGACACCTCAACACATGTCCATAAAACCCACATGTTACCCAGGGCTTCATATGGTCAGGGACGCGTTACAGATGAGGTACTCGCAGTGCTAGCTGAGCTGACTGACACAGCACAGAGTCGACCAAAGGACCAACACATCACCGCAAGATGCCATCACACAAATAAGGAGAGTCTTGTATTTTTATTTCTTTGTCAGCCAAAAAAGAAGTGGCTCTTCCTTCAGCCATGTCACCACCAAAGCAGTCCTAAGGGTGTATGAGTAACAATCCAAACCAACATCCTCTCGTGGAGGATGTTTAGAGGCTGGAAGAGCTGGACTAGGTTTGAGTCCTGACTCAACGCAGTTGTATAACTTTTAACAAATATTTAGCTTTCCAACCTTAGGTTTTTCATCTGTGAAATGGAACTCATAACATTTCTGTTTCCCTTCTGAATATTGGTGCAAGGATCAAATGAGTTAAGGTCTGTAAAACTCCTTTGACAAGTGAAAATAATCATTGTTGCCATTTATTTTCTATTTCCCCTCAGTTTTTAGTCACTCAGAAAATAAATTTAAGCATCTATGATCCAGTTCATGTTTCCACCTAAGTCTTATATGTAAATTACTAAGAACTCTTCAGAGAAAAGAAGGCAATGAAATCTAAGTGTATGCCATTTTGAGGGAATGCTCAGACACTGTTGGTGGGAATTTCAGTTGGCAAACCTCTATGGAAATCAGCATGGAGATTTTTCAAAGAACTAAAAGTAAATCCACCATTCAATCCAGCAATCCACTACTGGGAATTTACTCAAAGAAAAGAAACCATTATACAAACAAGACTCATATGCTCATCACAACACAATTCACAATTGCAAAGATGTGAAATCAACCTAAGTGCCTGTCAACTGATCAGTAGATAATCAAAATGTGGTATATATACACCATAGACTACTACTAACCATAAAAATGCATGAAATAATGTCTTTTGCAGCAACTTGGGTGGAAGTGGAGGCCATGATCCTAAGTGAAGTAAGACAGGAATGGAAAACCAAACATGGCATGCTCTCACTGATAAGTGGGAACTCAGTAGTGGTTCCTCAAAGGCATAGAGAAAGATCCAATGGACATTGGAGACTTGGAGGGGGGCAGAAGTGGGGGAAAGAATGAAAAATCACCTGTCAGGTACAATGTGCACTACTGGGGTGATGGGTACATTAGAAGCCCAGACTTCGCCACTATACAATTCATCCATTTCACCAGAACTGCTTGCACCTCTAAAGCTACTGAAGTTATGTATATGAAGAGGACCAAAAAACCTGGAATTATCTTTTGGAGGGCAGGACCCTTGAGTATAGGGTTCCCCAGCTAGGTAAGTGTTCTAGGAACCCATCAGCATCAGTGTTCCGGCTGGCATTGCTATGAGAGGGTAAGAATTTGGATTCACTGAATATTTTTTGGAGATTCTTTCAACGTATTTGCCCATTTCATGATGGGTGATTTGTGAGCATACCTGCCCACATGGCACTGAGTATTCAGCAGTTTTGACCAAAAATGGCATGACCCCCTCCCTATTCATCCAGTCTCACCCCAAGCAACCTTTTTTTTTTTTGTTTCCCCAGATGAAAAAAGTCCTCAAAGGGAAACATTTGCTGATGTGGAAGAGGTGAAGTAAAAAAAAAAAACCCAAAAAACAGAGGCACTAAAAGGCATCAAAATCGATGAGTTCAAAACCTGTTTTGAGCAGTGGAAAAAGCATCTTGATGGGTGCATTGCATTCAACGGAGAATACTTTGAAGGTGACTGAAGGAGAAACATGTAAGAATAAGTACACAATTTTTTATCAATAAATTCCGGTTAGGGGGGTCCCTCAAATATTGGCAGACCATCCTTGAGTTAACACACTGAGAACTTGCCATGCCTTCTTCCTCACTCGTCATGCAGCATTGCTCCCCCCACATCAACAGGTGCAGGACTTGAATGTGGGGATACCAGGCCCAGCCACAGCCATGCTGGTGTGTTTCTTGATCCCATCACTGCCTGCGTGCGTGGCAGTTCCCTGACGGGGATGGGCAAGACCAATAGTTCTGTCCCTAATTTCTCACATAGGAGCTCATCAGGATTGTCCTATAGGCAAGGCCTGTCTGACGCCTTACTTCATGGCTTCTTGCCAGAGCCTTGGTCACCCATGTTGTGTCTCTCACCCTCCTCTTTCCCCAGAAGCAAATGAGCAAAACTTCTCATGAGGCCACGGGCCCCTTTCACCAACAGCAGCCCCAGTGGTGTCATATCTGCACCCAGTGCAGAGCACCCACCACTAGGAGGCAGGGACTCAGTCCCGAGCAAGCTGTGAGCTCAAGAATAGGCACAAACGATAAGAACACAACCCCAGCCCAGTAAGACCCAGAGTTTGACGGCAGGGACCAAGGATGTCACTCTTCTGTAGACATAAGAGAACACTAAGCTCCTCTCAGATGCTCAAGTTGTAACACTTCAGATGGTTTTGGCAAAAGCTGCCACTTACCTGGCTTATGTCACTCATCCAGGCAGCCTTCTCCTGGCGTGAAGGTGCTAACAAGACCACGGTGAAGGCTGCAGCGTCAGGGGGCTCCACCACGATCTTGAAGTCTAGGTGCCCAAACACGTGCCCTGAGCCTTTGGCTGTAACACATGGAGAGCAAACCATGAGACAGGGCAGAAACAAGAGGGCACCACCCCTTCGTGGTCCTACTACTAGGATACCGTGCATGCTGCACAACTCCCAGGGTGTCATGCTTCTGGGTGTGGAAACTCTATGAACGCGTAAGCCAGGGAAGAGTGGAGGCTGGTGGGTCACTTGAGCCCAGGACCCTGGCTTCCTTCTAACCACCTGTTTTTTTTTATTTCCACAATCTCCAAACCCCAACATTCTGATCCAACTCCTTTCTCTTCTATACCTACCACTGAGAGAACACAGTCCTGGGACAGGGTTGGGTGTGAATCCCCAGAGATGGCCCAACACAGCTTCCACTGAAGGGCTTGACAACACTTTTCATTTGTAAAGACTGCGGGTTCACCCTTAGCATGTCTGCCACCTGGGAAGCCCCCCAGCCCCAGAGCTTTTTTTCTGCTCAGTGCAGTCCCAAGACATGGCCCCACTCACCATCTTCCTCGCCACCGTCAGGCTCCTCGATCAGCGTGCACTCCATGAGGGAGAGGACCCCGCCTGTCTGGAAACAAATGGGTTTTCCATTAAGAGGCTGGTCTTGTGGAGAAAAGCTCTGGCTTTAAACCTTATATTCAAACTGTCACAGAAGGAAACAAAGCAGTTCTGTACTACACATGATTGTTCAGAATCCAAAATTAAACATAGGTATGTATGCGGGATGGAATTCATTTAACTTCAGTTATGTTCTCCCCCACTAACTCTCCCCACAACTGACATTTATAAAATGTAGTGAGTCAGGTGCACAGGAGACTAGGTGGCCCATAGCACTTCAGAGCACAAATGCAGCTTGACAAAGGGTAGACCCTCCTCCTGCCAGGAAGCAGGTTGGATGGGAGGAGGCCGCCATCATGGTGCTGAGTCATGGTCAAACTGTCATAAGAAAAGGCCTAGGCAGGCACACATAATCTGTAGAGGGTCACATGGTAAGTATTTTAGGCCTTAAGAGCCACATGGTCTCTATTACTGCTGCTCAAATTTGCCACTTGAGCATGGAAACAGCCATAGGCAACACATAAACAAATGATGTGGCTGTGTTTCAATAAAACTTTATTAACAAAACAGGTGGTCAGCCATGGGCCACAGACTGCTGACTTTTGATGCAGAGCAAGATAAAAGAGCTTTTAGTAAATGTCCATGGATGTACTGCAGTGATTTGTAGGTCAATTCTCAACTAGTCTATAACTTTCTATGTAACTTTCTATAGTCTATAATTTTGTCCAGGTTAAGATTTAAACTGTAGTTCCTTATGATGATCCACACTTACATTAAGTTTTTATTCTTTGAGTCTAAATGACATCAACAAAGTAAATGTCAGAGTGGGTAAGAGTGTGTGACCTCACTGTCCATGTAGTTGCAACTGTGTTCCATGATGATGCCAGGCACAGAGTGCTACAGGCAACTCGGTCTTGATGCTTTGACACCTCTATGGTGTTGAGGTCAAGTCAACCTGAGCAGCAGTCATGGGGGCAGTACCTTGAGCAGGTGCAGCTTCCCACCCGAGCTCCTCGTGCAGATCAGAAAGTGCTTGGTGAACAGGAAGCACTGCCTCTCTCCCTCCTTCTTCAGGGACAGTGAGCCCAGACGGACCTTGCTGAGCTTTCCCCGCTCCACGGATGGCACTTGTATAAGAGAGCCTGGGGATTCAGAGGTGAGAACACACCAGAGTCAGGACCCGTTGTGTGAAGGCTGTGAATGTGAGACACACGGGGGTTCAGAAGTGAGAACATGCTGCCATCAGGACTGTCTGGTCAACACACGTCAGGCATTGCCTCCCTAGACACCAAGACCAACGTGTTCGATGTACCATCAGAGCAAGAAAACCCCACACTTTGAGTGGAAGAACAATGTATTTTAAGAGCCAAGCTGTCCCTAATAATTTTGTGAAACACTTTAGATGTGAGTCTTCACCTATAAACTGAAAAATAAGTTTGAAAGAAGGCAAAATTGGATTCACAGGGTGAGGCACTCCTACCATCTGTCCTTGTGATCTGATCCTGATCAAGCCAGGTATTTAATAGTAACATACACATTACCTGATTACTTATAGCAATACAATAATGTAACAAAAAGAATTTGGTGGCAGACACCAGACCCTCTTGCAATTGTCCTGCCCATTGATTCACAACATATCTTTCCTTTAATAAATCTACCTTTCTTAATTCATAAAGAGAGAAAATATAATTCATTCTCCTGAAGCACAGAAGGTAGATAAACAGCATATTAATATAGTTTAATCTGTATTTAAAAAACAGAACATACATATTATAAAAATACAAAAACTCTATAATTCAATGAAATTTAGCTAAGAACTATTTTTAAAGGCCGCTATTTCAAATTGCATTTAAATTATATGTGATGAAAATTCTTTGTGGAGTCATAATGAAAAGAAACCACATAAAATCTACACCCAGAACCCTGCTATGAGCAAAACTATCTTCCACCTCAGGTGAGAAACTGCATACAGACTTCACATAATACTGAGGTTACCTCAGGTTATTTCCAAATTTCACCCTAGTAATGACCTTCTCTGCCCAAAAAAGAAAATTCCGATCAAAGCTAAATATCAAACTAAAAAGTACTATGAGAGAGATTTCTGCAGGCTCCCTGGTTCTGGCCTCTGAAGTGCCCAGAGACTGTTGCATTTCTGCTATTTGTTCCATCTACCACGAGCCTGCAGTGCAGCCTTTATTCCTGGGCTCATGCAGACTAGGGAGAACCAGTGAGTGTGTGCTCAACTGTGGACAGCACAGTGGTCTCGCTGAGATGAGACTGAGGGCGGCCTTATTTTCCGCTTCATACATTTTCTGGATTTCCTGATTTTGTACTCATTATACGAATTACTTCTCTACGTGGAAATATCTACAGAAGTTCTTAATATAAAGGACACATATACATAAGATGGTAAAGCTATAGTGTGAGACCTAAACTGTTCACATCAACATATGAATATTCTAAATGGAGAAGGGGCAGAGTCCATTCCCAATGTCACGCATCCTCTTAGGGGCATGCTGCTGTGGATGGCTTGCAGACACCGAGGGGGTGGTGACCTGGGTGGAGAGGGCAGCCCCAGGAAGCACTCTTGGGAGGGCATGGATTGGGAGCACAGGCTGGGAAAGGTTTGACTTCAGCAAAGGGGCAGGTGAGTGGGAAGTATAGGAGGGCAGGTGGGCAGAGCACACCGGGAGGCAGCCAGGCGACTGGGATAACAATAGAAGAGAGAGGAGGTCGGGAGGGTAGAGGCAGGAGAAAGGAAGAGGACCGTGCTTGTGGACTTACAGGGTGCGATCAGAGCCAGAGGAGGCCTCACAGGGCCTGGTTCAATGCCTCTACTCACAATAGGGAAACTGAGAATGGAGGTACTCAGCTCTCCTTAGGGGCTATGGGAGTGGCACAGCAGGGGCAGCTGTGGATCCAGCAACAGGTAGTTGAGATGCGGAGAGGGACAGATGGGAAAACAGCAGGTCCCAGCTCTGCCAGGACCAGCGGTCCTCAGGCCGATCAGCCAGGCTGTGATGGGGTTAGACGGTGTTTGGGGATAGCTGGGCTGGCCATGCCCTCAGATCTGCGAAATGCCATCTCGTGTATTGTTGATAAATGCACTAGCAATGCAGTGATTTTCTAAGTCAGAAATTACGGAACACACTGTTCACTCATATACCAGCAATGACTGATTTTCAGCTTCAAGGTAAAAAAAATGAAATGTTTCCTTGGCAACCATCCCCTAATATGCTTAATCTATAACTGCTTGCCTCAAATCCAGGCAGAAGACTGTGTATGTTGGGCACGTACAGAAATGTATGCACGCCTGAGTTAAAAGTGAGAAACTACAACACTATTGCTTGCTTTGTAAAATAATCCTATTTGAGAAAAGAATTTTAAGTAGTTTTTCCCCACATTTTATCTCATGTTTGACGTGGTATTTCAAACCATGTTTCTCATGGTTCCCATGAGACATGAAGAAAAGATTCCTTTCCAGTTAATACCAATTAGAAAAACAATTAGTATTAGTCATTCCTCAGAATCAGCCATTGCTATGGTGTAAGTTTTTGCACCTGGTTGTTGGTCTGACTTGTAGCAGGGTCACCTTCCAACAAAACTTGTTTCAATCATTAGGTTCCCACAGAGTGGCACTCAGGTCTGGCTGTGACTCTAATTCTTAGTCCCTTTTGCAGAGGAAAAAGCCATTTCCAGGTATCAGTGAGGCATCTGAGAGGATTTCACTCCCTAGACCCCATGGTACAATTTTGGAGAATGTGGCATGCTGGACACACATGGCCTAGGGTCTGACCACAATCTGGGGAGGCCCACGTCTCACTCTTGGCCTTTGCTCTGTCCTCAGTCATTGGCACCAACCTTCTGTTGATGTTGTACCACGGACTCTGTACAAATGTCAACCCGGAGTGCCTTTATCATCTAATAAATATTCAAACATATTTCTTGTTAATGAAAATAGAAACTCATGCAAACTCCGGCTTTTAAAGTTTATGTCATAATCATTTTTAAAGTTTATGTCATAATAGTCAGGTGCATTTAGCTCATTTAATCTTCACAGCAATTTTAAACAACAGTACTATCACTAACTCCAATTTAAGGAGAGGAAACCAAGGCTGAGGAGGCCAAGTAAATGCCCAATGTCACTGAGGACATGGGGGACAGGGCTTGACCTCCAGCGGTGCAACTGTACTGTCTTCCTATTATCGCTCAGACACACATTTATTCCAGAAACTTTGAACAGGTTTTGTAAAATAACACTGACATCAGACCATGGCTAGAATCCAGTCCTTCACATCCTCTCCATCAGAGTGTCCAGTAACTTAATCCATTTACAATAAAACATCTACTTTCTAATCACTAAATCCCTACCGAATTGCATTCTTGTGTGGCTGATGCCTATGTTCTGAGGTGACTTTCAGACGACCTAGAAGTCTGAATTTTTCTAGTCCTTGGAATACAAATGCACGTAAGGTTGAAACCACCCACACACATGCACACACTGGAAGAGATCCACGTCCTCCCTAAAGTGATTAATACAAATGCCAGCACACAACTAAGGCAAACTATAGTCCCATTCATAGAAAATAAAATCCCTCAAAAATTTGTAAGTAATATTTTTTGAAACACCTCACTCATCTTAAAGCCCATGAAGGAGCTTAAGCAGAAGTGATCATAGATGAGACCATAGCATGATGCCCAGACTCTCCAGCTGTCTGAAAGGAGATCACTTTCTACCCTCAGATTAAACTCTGGTTTCTAGAAATCACCTTAACTAAATAATTCCTAAACAGATTAACCAAACCAAACATGCAGAAAAATCCAGCTGAAAGACAAAGCATTATATCAACATGAATACGCTATCATCAGAATCTTAGCAGCTATCAGCAGAGCCTTAAACATGTGACACAGCACAGAGAGTAAGTAACACATGGAGTCGAATCCAAGGAGCACTGATTCATGACTAGTTTCCTCTAATTGCAATGAAAAAAAAAGAGACTTATTCAATGTGTTAGACCTTCTAGCATTTTTCATTATGAATGGTTTTTTCAATTCAGATCAATAAAGTCTGTTTTTTACAAAACAGTAATGTGTATGGGTAATCACACCTTCCCCATCGGAAGTCCCTCTGGACACTACACGTTAGTCACAGATGCTGTTGTTTCTCACATATAGTGAAATGCCCAAGTTGATCAGTGGATATCTTCAGTGAGCTCCAAATACAAGAAAAAGACAAAATAAGACCTTACAATCACAATTCAACAGACAATTCAACCTAACTCAGGTTTCTGTAACAGGAAGTAGTATGCAAGACAAGGCAGGGAGAAAGAATTCATGACGCTGCCTGCCCCAGTTTTCACTCTCTGGGAGGGTCAGGAGCCTCCACCAGGAGGAGAAAACACACACAGGAGCAAATGTCATGGATGCGGAGGGGACAGTCAGTGCATACTACCCAGAGGGGAGGGAGGACGAACTCCTTAGAGGCAGCCGTCCTGAGCCAGTGAGGACACATAGGCCTTCCACGGTCATGAGAAAGCAGCAATGGTGGCATGGGCAAGGGTCCTGAGGCAGGGGCTGAGGTGGGGCACAAGGGAGACAGAGAATGGAGGAGGAATGATAAAGACCGAGGTTGCTAGCATAATACCCCACCATCACTTAAAGAAAAACTAGTATCTAAAGACAAAAATGTGAGGGGGGTGTCATTTCCTAAAATCAAATTCCAAACTCCACATCTGTGCATCTAATCTCCTTGCAAATAAGCAATGGGAACTAGAATGGCAGGCATTAAACTGTAAGTATTTAAGCAAAAATTAATGTGCATGTCTTGCTCTTGTTTGGAGGGAAACAGAGATCTCAAGCAGCACATAGTGGTAGGCCACAGCCATGAGATGCCATCACACGACGCTGGTGCATCATAAACAGAAACCATATTCATGGTGACTGGAGTTCCTGCTCTGCTCCTCACCCACCTCAGAGTTACACGTGTGTGCAATGTGTCATCCACAGGAGGCTGGCGTGGAGGTGGTGGGGTGGCTGGTCCCACCCTGTGGGGTGAGGGCAAGAAGGGCCATGCATGGTAGGCTACACATCCCTAGGTTCCAGCTAAAAGTATCTTGAATTCCTGACGGGTGTTGTTTATGGGCAATGCCCCAGAGCATACCCCCCACCACAAACAAATTTGATGGCATATTCACAGCCAGGGCACTAAGTCCTGGCCAGGACACGTGTCACCTGGTACCTGGAGCCACTGTGCATTCATTATATCATGCAGGGCTGACCCAGAAGAATCGATGAAAATGGGAGCAGAAGCCAGCCGCCTCATTCTGGGCATGAGCCCCAGGTTCAGATGACAGGGCATGGAGTCATTCATTTGTCCTGGGCTCTGGTCTGGTCGCTGCTGCCATGTGGCACCGCCACCCCCACTGGCTAATCCAGTTAGTCCCTTCCAGGGATGCAGAGGGCATGGAGTCCCCTGAGGAGCTACATCTGGCTGGTGTGCACCTGGCCACCCCATGCATACCTGACCATGATCACGCTGTTGTTCATCAGGACCCCTGGAAGGAGTTGGCAGGGGCCTTACCCTCCCTCCCCAGACCATGGCATCTGGGCAAACTCATGTGGCCAGTGACTTGCCTGGCTGCCCTTCTAGTGCACCCAGAAGGACCTACCTTGGCGGATGAAGGTCTGGCTGGTGTCCAGCAGGATGTCACAGCCCTCCACGATCATCCGCTCAATGGCCAGGTTCTTCCTGATGTTCTCAGTGTCACTGACTTCATCATGCATCACCCTGTGGACACACACGAAGGTCAGAGCCCTCCCTGCCCCCAGGAGAAGGGAGAGCACTGTCAGAGAAGCCTGGCTCTGAGCTGCACAGAGCCAACTGGGGAGTGAGGGAGGTACACTGAAGCCCAGGCAAGGCCAGCATGCAGGGACTCCATGGGAAAGTGGTCAGTGACTCAGGACCCCCACCAAGGCTTGCTTTGAAATGCAGCAGGATGCTGGGTTTGGAGGCTCAGCCTGTAATCCCAGCACTTTGGGAGGCCAAGGCGAGTGGATTGCCTGAGCCCACAGGTTTGAGACCAGTCCAGGCAATTTGGCGAGACCTCATCTCTACAATAAATAAAGAATTAGCCGGGCATGATAGTGCACACCTGTAGTTCCAGCTACTTGGAAGGCTGAGGTGGAAGGATCACCAGAGCCTAGGAAGTTGACACTGATGTGGCTGTGAGTGTGCCACTGCACTCCAGCCTGGGCGACAGAGTGAGACTCCAACTCAAAAAAAAAAAGAAAAAGAAAGAAATGCAGCAGAAATGCAGCCTGTTGCCCTGTGAACAGCTCCCCTCATGGACGTTAGGGTGCCAATCCTTGTGGGCAGACCAAACCAGGAAACTTTGCTCCATCTATCTCATGTAAACTACAGGAACACAGATGTAAGTTAGTACTCATAACAAGGAGACATCACCAAGAAATGCAAACCTACGTTTTTTAGCTCTAATCAAATATGGATAAAATGCAACTGAGAGTCACTTTTTAAAAATGAGATCTTGCTATGTTTCCCAGGCTGGTCTCCAACTCCTGGGCTCAAGCAATCCTCCTACCTTAGCCTCTTGAGTAGCTGAGACAACAGGAGTGCAACACCACATATGACTATCATTTTTTTATTATGCTGAAAGAAATGCCAACACTCCCAAAGTTAAACCAAAACACCTCATCTTAGTATATAAACTCACACGCTGTCAGAACATTTTCAAAGGTATATGTTTTTCTTGGTTAAAATTAACATGAACGATGACACAATGTCATTTAATGAGCAGGTGTTTAACTTCTCAGGTGATCTGAGAAGCTGGACTTGTGTTTTGTTTCCTGTCCCTCAGAACACATGAGAGACTACCGGCCACATCCCCATCCCCAGCCATGCACATCTCCTGGTACCTGGACAGCTCCTCCAGCTTGGATTTGGCGAACTCCAGACTCTTCCTCTCCACGTGCTCATGGGGCGTATGAGCCAGGAGCTCGTGCAGCGTGATGATATACCTGGGGATCTGGACCCAAGAGGCCAGCATGAGTGGAGGCTGGGCAGGCATCCTCTATAGCCACCGTCACTAAGAAGCATTGCTACACTCATGGTTTTGACAGTTTAACAAATATTTTAAAGAAATACATAAGAAATGAACTATGCTAAACTTCACCAAGAGCACATGACAAGGTGGAAGCAGATGAAGTATTAGGTACACAGAAACAATTGTTTAGGTTTTTTACACAATGACACTTCCTTGAACCATGGTGTTTAGTAAGGAAACAGACACAGCTATCAAGTCATGTGAGTCTGTGTTTTAGGCATATGACTGGGGACTCAAAAAAACTCAGAGTTTATTTATTAAAAATTGTGTAATTATTCTTACATGTTTAAATTTCAATCATCTTCAAAGTACTCTCTGTTGCAATACACCTACCAAGACATTTTCCACTGCCCAAAATAGTTTCTGAACTTGTCAATTTTGATGTCTTTTAGTGCTTCTGCCTTTTTTTGTTTCGCCTCTTCTACTCAGCAACATTTTTCCCTTCGAAAACTTTTTTCATCTAGGAAACACTAAAAAGTAGCTCAGGCTAAAATGGGTGAACAAGGAGGGTAGGGCCCAGGGATCATGCTGTTTTTGGCCCAAAACTGCTGAATACTGTGTGGTGTGGGCAAGTGTGCTAATAAATCACCCAGCCTGAAATGGGCAAACACGTTGAAAGAATCTCCAGAGGAAAAATTCACTGAAGCTGGACACAGAGCCTTAACAACACTAGCTGATACACTGATGCCAATGGGTTCCTAGAACACTTACCTGGAGGGGAAGCCCAGACTACAAAAGACCCACCCTCCAAAAATTAATTCCTGTTTTTTAGGAGGTCTCCCTCATATTTGCTCATTTGCAAAACATCCTACCTTTCACTTGTCCTACTGCACCATCCTCCTAAAGAACTAAAACTCAGAAAAGAAGCCTCATCCATCCTGACCTCTCTCTGCTCCCACTTCATCTTCACGGCCCCTGTGCAGTGAAAGCCTTGTGTAATTGGATCATTTGCTGGTTATTTTATTTATGAACAGACTGTCCATTTGAATTGCACCAAACTCAATAAGGTTTAACAGGATACAGCAGAGCAGAGGTTTGTAGGAAGGGGGCTGTGGACTTCCCTCCGCACCAGCACCAGTATGGTGGCTGCCACTGAGGCACAGAGCCAGCACCCAGGTGTGCACGGGTCCACCCTCCAGAGTACAGGGACAGCTACCCCATTCTCCGGATGGGGAACAGGGAGGGAAGAAGCCCCAAGGTGGCCCCCAGGAGCTGCAGGGAGGTGAGGAGCCTGGCTCCAACCATGCACCAGCCACCTTACCAGGGTGCCCACCGGAGACTCTTCTTTGGGGATGGGTCTCCCTCAGTCCCTGAAAGGAGCTGAGTCAAGCAGCTACCAGGTCACGTTCCTACCATCCTGTCCTGGGGCCCCAGCTATGGGTCTACAGTTGCTCACACAGGTAGTGCTTGTGTGAGACTGGCTCTCCATGTGTTCAGAGAGCCCATATATCCTGAGAGCCCATGGGTCCTGTGAGCCTACGTGTGTGCAGACGGTAGCCTCATGGCACAGATGGCACCATGGCCTATCCTCTGGGTAGCATCCTAGAGAATGGCACCAATCAAGGTTTTGAGAAGCACAGGCAGATCTGTAGTCATGGGAATGGGATACAGGAGACCCTCCTATGTAGCATAGATAAAGGGGGTGTTCCACCTCTTCATCCCATGAACCTCTTACTGAGGCTGCCCTCAGGACTGGCCCACCTGGAGGCTCCTGAGACACATGTGCTTTCCAGTATCCCTTTTGCTACACAGTCTCATGACCAGCAAGTTTGCCTTTTAGTTAGCAGTTCTGCGAGAACACTGAGACTGTTGATAGCCATACACAAAATGGTGCAGAGCAGTGGGGGCAGGTGAGGGAAAACCAACCACTTATAATGCCCTGAACCCACACCACAGGGTCTCTAGTCAGGAGCTCCGTGACCTTTTCTCACCCCCTATATCTACTCCAAAGTGTTCTCTGGCAAGATTCTGCACAGAGATTTGAACTCTGTCTCTGGCCCTTCCCATTTCCTGGTGGAGAAACAAGCCAGCACTGAAACTGTGCAGCTCAGGTCTAAAGGTTCTGCGGAGAAGGGGAAGCTCCCAAGAGGTCATCAAGACCTGCCAGAGCTGACTGTTCATTTGTCCCAAATCCAAGCATCACGGGAAATGTCTGATGGATCACAATCCTGCTTTCAGCTGTGGAGCTAATGCTGGTCACTGCATAGACACTGATTCGCTTGCTCTGCAGTCGTAGCAAGCAAGGGGTTGGAGAGGCAAGTAGCCACTTTTGGAGAACACTGGGCAGTGCCATCTTGCAGGAGCAGACTCTGCAGCCAGCTCACCAACAACCTTCAGCACACACAGTCAGATAAACACACGGCAGCCAAAGCCCTTTGAGCCATCCCAGCCAAGCCACTGACTTTGATAAGCAATAATCATGTCAGTGACCACATTATTTTCCATAATACACTTCTTGGCAGGACTTGGGTCCACTGGTCTGATTGCCCAATTGGGGATAATTGTACTGCCTCATCCAAATCCTGCGATGCCTCCGTGTGTCCATAGTCCAACACATCTCAGGAATGGCAGCAACCAACTGGCTCCACAAAGGGCCTGGAAGGGGAAAGATGCAGCCAGCTTCTGCACATACAGGCTGGAGAGCCTGGGAGGGGAAGAACATGCCACTTTCTGCACACAGAGATCGGGGGACTCAGAAGAGGAAGGACACAGTTACCTTCTGCACACACCGACTGGAAACTTCCAGTGGCCTCTTCTCCTTCCTCTACCCATGTTGAGGCTCAAGAAAAGATCCAGGATCCCTTGGCGGTATGAACAAGGGTCACCTCTTCCCTTGCTGCCTTCTGGCAAAACGTGTCCAACCCCTGCTTTGCCTAGGCATCCAGCCCTCCATAGGAACAAGGAAGCCATAAGAAGTACCTCTGCCCCTGCTAGGTGGCAGAGAAGCAGACACACCCGGCCTTGGAGGGACAAACATCTCACAATGGCTCCACCACATGGATGAAAGGACCACACAGAGACAAGGACAGAATGAGCTCCATAAGAGGATGCCTCCAGCTTCTAGAAGAGCAAGGGCCCCAAGTGTGTCATTCGGTAACTCCAGAGAGAAAAAGGAGGATAAACGCCAAAAGGGGAGACAGAACAGAAACACCAAGCCACATGAAGCTGTGAAAGACAAAGACATCAGGCCATGTGAGGTTGTGGAGGACAGAGAAACCAGGCAGTGTGAGGCCACAAAGGACAAAGACACCGAGGCCATGTGAGGCCACGAGAGACAGAGATACCAGGCCATGTGAGATCACAGGAGACAGAGACACCAGGACGCAAGAGGCCACAAGGGACAACAAAGAGACCCTGGGCCATGTGGGGCCATGGGGGACAGGGTAAGGCCACAAGGGACAGAGGAGAAACACCAGGCAGCATGAGGCCATGGGGGACAGAAAAGAGACACCAGCTATGTGAGGCCACAGGGGACAGAAGCACCAAGCCATGTGAGCTCATAGCAGTTTCCAGTGTCCTCAACTAACACCAAGCTTGCAACACCACATGGCTAACTAATCCAACACATCAGAGCCCATCTAGGCATGGACCCAGGAGGCCAGGTGGGACTTGTGCCCTGTCTCAGTTCAGTCACACCAAACACTCTCCTTGCAACACCACAAGGCTCAATTCAAAGACTGAGGAAGGGAGGCTTCAGGCCACTATTCCCCATGCTATGACTGAGGGTAAGTGAGATACCAGCTCTCCTGAAGACAACCCTCCGATGTTTCTTTTTTGGACATTATGAGAATTTCTTGGGGTCATTCAAAAGGCTTTGTCAGGACTGTGGGCATGACTCTGGGGGGGGGGTTGGAGGCTATGGAGGAGTTCCTTTGTTTTTAAGAAATCCAGAGACCCTTGAAGACCCTGCCTCCATTTGCACTTGAACACTGTATCACAGTGCAAATGTGACTCTGTCATCTTAAGAGACTCACACCAAGAGGGGATTCACACCAAGAAGGGACTGAGTCACACAGAGAACAATACCAGTGGCTGTCAGAGGGAGCTGGATCCTTACTGGACATCCAAGAGTCCTTCACAACTTTTCCCTTGGATACCCATCTGACTTGGGGTCACTGAACAGATTCAGTTTGGGGTGTTGACTCATTACCTAGAGATAAGTGCCAAAAATTCAAATAGAATCTTGGAGGAATATTGCAGTACATAAAATGTGTTTCACTGTAAATAAAATCTTAAATCCCAATGATGTGTATAGTTAAAAAAAAAAAGGTTGAAATTTTTCTTGTGAAATCTTTTTCCTCAGAGAGGCCAAAAGTTCAAACAATTTAGTTCCATGAAAAAGAAAACAATAACATTATAAAGTTTCTCCATACTTAAGTGTTTTTTAATGCATTTTTTGTTTTTAAAAATTTTACTACACTTTAATGGGGATGTCCAGGATTTGGAGCAGGACTGGAAGCTTCAAGACAAATGACAACCACAGCCACATTGCTCTCTGGGGCTGCAAGTGGCTGCCAGGGCAGAGCCACCTGTCCCCAGAGACACGGTGCCCCACAGTAACATCAGATGTGACCCGTTCACAGGACGACCTGGGCCTGGCCACAGCCTGCACATTCCACAAGGGAACACTCCCTGCCTTTCCAAAAGAAAAGGAGATTCTGTTTACATCTGGCCTCATGGTCTCCCCGAGCTCTGAGACAGAGCCCCAGGCACAGGACAGAATGCCAGCGAGCATAAGAGCAAGTGTTGGGCAAGGTTCTGCTCCACGTCCCAATAGTCCCTGTGAACAGCGGGGGGGTCTCCCTTGTCCTTCGGAGTCCAGCTAGACACATAAGAGCCCAGCAGGCCACAGCACAGTGGAAAGCAGACTTTCCGCCCCATCCCGCCAGGAAGCTTTCACGTAGCCAGCATACCAGGGCATCAGCACAAGCCCCACTTCTGTCACCAGATCATATTTTCAGCATGCTGAGAAGGCTCCTTGAGCACTGTGTGGAACCCTTCTGTAGAGAGAAAGCTGTGCTGCATTTCACAACGTCCTGCCGGCATTATTGGCTTCAAAGTGCCCAGGTACCTTAGGCAGGTCACACAGAAGGAGAGTGTTCAGTGTGACTGGACTGAGACAGGGCACAAGTCCCATCTGGCCTCCTGGGTCCATGCCCCAAGCAGGCAGCGTCCTCACCTGGAACATGGGGTAGGTGAGGAAGGTCTCCAGCATGCGGCCCTCGCAGGCTGGGTTGGCCTCGTATTGTTTGAGCAACTTATCGAAGTCCCGATTCTGCTTGCAGTTGGCCAGCACCTGCAGGCTGTACTGGTGGTTGCGCACAAACTCCTGGTAGATGTTCAGCATGGGCAGCAGGATGTCAAACAGGTCAGCTGCAAGACAAAGAGGACATTGGTATTTCTGGTGTTGGGGTTCTTTCTACGCAGCAGGAAACGCAGCGAGGGTGCAAGCACCAGGGTCACATGGACTAGACGGATCCCCAGGCCTACATGATGACCCGGTAGGATGTGCCTGGGAGGAATGCAACTCCAGCTCAGAGGCCATGACGGGCCAGGGTTGCCAGCACCAGGGTCACACAAGCTGGGTAAGTTCCAAGGCCTGAGTGACACCTGGGAGGGTGTCTAGGCCGAACGTGACTCCAGCCCAGGAACCGGGATAGGCCGGGGCAGCCAGCACCAGGGTCACATGGGCTGGGGAGAGTCCACGGCCTGAGTGACACTTGGTAGAATGAATCTGGGAGGAACACAACTCCAGCCCAGGAGCTGTGACAGGCTGGGGCTGCCAGCATGAGGGTCACATAGGCTGGGGCAAGTCTGAAGCCTGAGTGACACCTAGTAGGATGTACTCCGGCAGAATGCGACTGTAGCCCAGGAACCATGATGGGGAGAGGGCATAAGGGCACCTATTGAGGCAGGCCCCAAGGACCTAAAGGGTGGGGATACCTTCCCAGGGGCTCAAGACGCTCACCTGTCAACAGGGAAGTTCAATCAGCTTAGGTTGAAAATGGGGAAGTTGTTTTCTCCAATTGTAGACATTCCAAGAGAATATCTGACATCTTTAAGGAATATACTTACCTAAAATTAAAGTGGGCCAGTTTGCTATCCTTGCTTTCAGTCCTTGATGAAATATTTCATGAAGAAACATGATCGTTTCACTATAAAAAAAGAGAGAGACAGCATTGAGTCATTGTAAAGTGTCTGTTTTGTTAAAAAGAAAATCCATGAGCCCATCAAGCGCTAACACGTATGTGGTCTCTGTGTCCCGTAGGCCCCCAACTCCACCACAACACAGATGGTTCCAGCTACCACCAAGCAACTATGACAACCTCAAAAAACTCCAAGACAAATCTCAGACACTAGGGACAAAAAGCACCAGATCTTGGTCACACAGCCCTCTTTATCAATTTCTAAGTGACCTTTCTCCTGTTAGGAGGTGGCACTTCAATTGCTGATCAGAAAATTAACCTTCTGATCCTTTTTCTTTTCATGTTTGATTCTAAATAACTCAGGGAAAAAGCTCTCTTTCACTAAAATAAGTTTTGATCAAAGAGATGAGGTGAAATATCCTGCTAAAAATGCTGTCAGAACTCTACTCTAACTGCTGCTCAGACACCAAAGATAAACATACAAGACTCTTCTGAAAAATGCAAGGCCTACACAGGGACACTAAAATAAAGAAGACACAGATTAGGTACCTAAGGGCCAAGAAGATGGTGACCAAAGTCAAAACACCCTTCCCTTTCCCCTCACTGGCATTAACCTCCTGCAGTGGCCTTCAAAGTCTTTTCTGAATGAAAATATTGATACCATTGAATGCAGAACTGTTCATTTTAGTGAGATACTTGGGCCCACTAGACACCAAATTCTATGACAACAGACAACAAGAAGTCCTCACCGTTGTAAATGGTCCAGGAAATAAAACAGAACCTGCTTGTAAGGTTGGATTCGCTTTTCTTTTATAGAAATGTCAACCGAGTGGTGTCTGTTGTTCACAAATTCAGTCAGTTCTTGTTTGGAAGGCATCATAGTCACTTAAGCTGAGCTCCATTCTGCCTCTCAGTGGGGAGAAGGAGCTGAAGCGACACTGCCAGGCTCTTCACAGTGTTCTGGATATAAAGTAAGTCCCACCCATGGGTGCCCTGACAGGACATGGGCGGTGGGAGAGACCACCTTCCTGTGACTGAATTGTGGAGGTGGTGCTCCAGGGCATCTGCAGTCCCAGCTTCAGGACTCTGGTGTCCGGGAGCCGGTAGCAGGAGCCCAAGAGTGGCCATGGTACAGTGGCCATGGCAGCGGTGTCCCAACCTCTGGGCTACATCTCAGGGGCTAGTTCTTCACCTCAGCAGTCCAGGGCAGCTTCTGGACCCGTCTCCTCTGACCCTTCCAACAGATCCTGCAAGCTGTGCTCCAACTCCCACCACCTCCTGGTCCTTCTGTTCACAGCTGTGAGAGCCCGGACCCCAAAAGCCCATCCACAACAGAACCCAGACCAGCACATGCTCCCACCTCACGCTGTCCAGCCCCTCACCTGACCTCCCCTCTGTACACAGCCTCCTTTCCTCCCTTCACCTAGTCTCCCCTCTCTACATGACCTGCCCTCTCTACATGGTGACCTCGTCCTCATCCAAAGCTCCCCATCGTTCCTGCCTGCTCCCCTGTGGTCCCTTTCTACCTTCCTGACTTCTGCATGCTGGTCCTAGCTTCCCTTTTCTTCCCCATAGGTGCTCATACCTTCGACTTTCACCCAGAGCAGCAGACTTAAATACCACCCGTGTCCTCAAGATCCCAGGGGATTCCTCCAACACAGACCCTCCTCTCAGTTTCAGACAATACCCTGTCCCTGGCCACCCAACATCTCCCCTGGATGACTGACAGTGACTCTCAACCCACAGTTCAAGACAGAGATCTGTATCCTCCCCCTAACTGATTCCCCATCAGTCTCCACCATCCAGCAAACAGCAAGGTGTCCTTCCAGCTGCTCAGACCAAAACCTCTATAACCTTCTCTGGCTTTGCTTTGCTTTCTCCCAAACCATACATCAAACCCAGCAACAAAACCTCCTGGCTCTGACAGGAGGTACAACCGGAATCCAGTTACTTCAGTTGTCTCCTACTTGATTGTTGAAAAAGCACTGAGTTTTTTACACTGAGCCCTCGGTCTCTTCTCAACAGAGGAGCCAACTGGGTCTTTCAGCTCCACATCAGGGCATGCCACCTATCTGCTCAAACCCACAATGTTCCCCCAGCCCACCTAGAGAAAAGTCAACAATGCACAGTGCCTCTCCCGTGGACTCCCTGCCTCCTCCCTGGTCAACACTGTGCTTGACACAGAGCTGGGCAGGCCCTGGAACTGGCCATCAGGCTCCCTCGCATATCTGATCACAGGCAGCTCTGTCTACACCAAGTTAGACAGGCCCTGGAGCTGGTCCTCAGGCTCCCCCATATACCCAGTCACACGCAATTCTGTCTACACAGAGCTGGGCAGGCCCTGGAGCTGGCCATTGGGCTCCCTCACACGCCTGGTCACAGGTGGCTCCTGCTACCCAGGGTCAATCTCCCCAAGAAGCCACACAGCTTGCTTCCTCACCAACTCAAGTCTACTTGAATGTCAACTTATCTCTGAAGGTTTTCTGAAGACTGGCTATAGAAAAAAACCACAGTACCTTCACAGATGGCAATATCATGGAGTGATTTTTTTTTAAAACAGAATGTTCTTTAGGTGTCAACCTGGCAAGCTCTTCAGGATGTGCTGTTAGGTGAAAAAAATCAGCATTTGTCAAAGATTGTTGCCTCTTGGGTAAGGAGAGGCAATAAGACTCTATGCTCATCTCTGCTTAGATACAAATTGAGAAACACTGCAAGAATGAATAAGAAACTACTAAAAACATCATATCTAGAAAGTGGAGATGGGTGGACAGACACAGGCTAGTGCAGTTAGCAACTGTGCTATGCTGTTTTCATTATATTTTGAACCATGAATGCATTATCTGCTCAAAAACAAATACATGGCTAAAATGTCCAGTGAAACAACCAAGCACTCCTTCCCCACCCTTGTCCTTTCTCTATGGCACTAATCACCCCATGACAAGCTGTATATGTCACTGATTCACCACATGCTGTCTTCCTGCACTGAGACTCATGTTCACTCAGAAGCCCTCAGCACAGAGGACACCATCAACACTTATCAAGCAAACAAATTCGCCAGGGTCCCAGGCCCTGCCCTAGTTTTTTTCTTCCTAAAAAACTTCTGTACACCGCACACGTAGAGACCCACTCATCACTCCATTTTCTGTCTATGAGGGGGAGTGTCTTCCCCAGCTCACCCCCACCCCCAACAACGTGTGTCAAAGAGCAAAGAAAAATTGAGAAAACTAGATGCCCAGAGTCAAGATAAAGACACACACATTTGGGCTCACGAGGAAACACAAACAACAGTTCCCCCCTTCAGTATTATAAGCCTGCCCCCAGAGACGAGCCTATGGGACCCCTTCACAATGCCGTAAGAACTCTGAAAAAATGTCAACAGTTGTTAACAGACTCTGGTTCACACTGAGACAAACCTGTTGAGGAAGATGCTGCTGACATCATCATGGCTGATGGGGGGTTTCTTGGAACTGGCGGCCATGCGCAGAGGCCGCAGGAAGCCATTGACCAGCACGCAGAGCTGGTGCACATACTCTGCCTCGGCCTCCACCATGGCGAACACTATCTGGTTCCTCTTCCGCATGCTCTCAGCGTGTGGGGAGCAGATGTAGTCCTGCACAATGGTTTTCCACTTCCTCCTGCACAGCCAGCCACGCATGAAACTCTGCACCTGCAGGCCAGACACACAAGTCAGCAGGGACAGCACTCCTGGCTGTGTGAACGTGGCTGTGTGCACGTGTTCACTCGCCAGTACACTCCTGGTGTCACCCATGAAATGACAATGGCGGGCTTTTCCAGATAACAGAAAAATGATGTTTTTTATGAATAGCTTTCTTTCTCAGGTTCATATGTTTCTACCATAAGCTGAAGCTCTTCAGGCCTGTCTTAGGACTTCAGAATGCAGTATTACATATTTGGTTACCAACATTTCAAGAAATACATTGAAGATTTAGTCTTTAAACAATATAGAATTACCTGTTTTTAAAAAAATTTTTTAAATTGTGGCAAAAAGCATATAACATAGAATTTACCATCCTCACCACTGCTAAGTGTACAGCTCAGTTTTGGTTTTTATCTTGCAAAATCAAAACTCTGTACCCATTAAACAACTCCTTATCTACCCTTCTCTCAGCTCCTGGAACCACCAGTCTACTTCTGTTCTGTGAATCCAACTACTTTAGGTACTCATGAATGGAATCACAGAATATTTCTCCATTGTGACTAGGTTATTTTCCAAGGTCTAACATCCTCAAGTCCGTCCATGTTGTAGCCTGAGCAGGACTTCCTTCCTTTTCAAGGATGAACGCTATTCAATGGTACGCACACGCAACATTTTGCTCGTCCACTTATCTAGTTGCCTCTACCTCTTGGTCACTGTGAGTAGTACTGCTATGAACACGGGCATGCGGATATCTCTTGGGGACCCTGACTTCAGTTCTTTGAGGGAAGAAGCGGGACTGCTGGTTCACGTGGTAGTTCTGTTTCTAACTTTTGAGGAACTATCATACTATTTTACAAAGAGGCTATACCATGTTATACTCCTACCAACAGTGTCCAGGCCCTCCAGTTCCTCCACAGCCTGACCAATGCTTCCTATCCCCTGTTTTATAGGCAGTAGCTGTCCCATGGGGGTGAGGTGGCATCTCACTGTGGTTCTGACCTGCAAGTCAGGTGACTTGTGATTCTAGACATCTTTGTGTGTGCTTGTTGGCCATCATACCATCTTTGGTAAAAAAGTCTATTCAATCCTGTGCCCATTTTAAATCAAGTTAATTGATTTTTGTTGTTGCTGTTGTCTTGCTTTTTGTTTTGTTTGTAAGCTTAAAAAAATCCATGTTAGGCAGGGCTGGGTGGCTCAGTCTGTAATCCCAGCACTTTGGGAGGCCAAGGCGAGTGGAATGCCTGAGCCCACAGGTTTGAGACCAGTCTGGGCAACTTGGTGAGACCTCGTCTCTACAATAAATAAAAAATAGGTCTGGCATGGCAGCGCATGCCTATAGTTCTGGCTACTTGGAAGGCTGAGGCGGAAGTATTGCCGGAGCCCAGCTTGTAGACTGGGGTGGCTGTGAATATGCCACTGCATTCCAGCCTGGGTGACAGAGCAAGATTCCAATTAAAAAAAAATCTGTGTCAGATGTCAGTTTCTCCAATTGCTTACTTCTATAGATGAGTAAACTGAATTTGGTGGCAAGTCACGCAGCCACATGTCCCTCCACCAGCCTTCACTCACCATCAGGACTCTTCCCAGTCACATGACAACACACACTGACCATTTGGAATGGTGATTGTTTTGTAAAAAAAAACATGAAATATAATTAAAAATCAATTTTGTAGAAGACGTGATAGCCTCTAAAGCTGATCTGAATTCCCTAAGAATTATTAGAAAAGTAACAGGTAAGGCTGAGAAAATGCACTGGCTGTGTTTTAGTCAATCAACAAACATTTACTGGTCAGTCTGAGAAGGTGTGTTTTAGCAATCAGGAAACATTTACTGGCCATTGTTTAAACGCCCTGGTTAAAGGCTAGGCACTGAACAGTCAGGTATATACTATATCTTTAACTCAGAGTTTCTGCCAGTAACTATCTAGGTGACCTTGAACTTTGGTCCTCTGTTTTCTTATCTATAAAACAATTGATAAGCCAGGGCTCGGTGGCTCAATCTGTAATCCCGCGCCTTTGGGAGGCTGAGGTGAGTGGATTGCCTGAGTCCGCGGGTTCGAGACCCGCCTGGGTAGCAAGACCTCATCTCTATAATAAATAAAAAAAAATCAGCCGGGCGTGGTAGCGCATGCCTGTAATTCCGGCTACTTGGAAGGCTGAGGCAGAAGGATCGCCGGAGCCCAGCAGGTCGAGGTTGTGGTGGCTGGGAGTGGCCACTACACCGTAGTCTGGGCGACAGAGTGAGACTCCAACTCAAAAAAAAACAATTGATAGAGTTGGGCATGCATGTGCCTCTAGTCCCAGTTAATTGAGAGGCTGAGGCAGAAGGATCGCTTGAGCCAGGGAGTTCAAGTGAAGCCTGGGCAATATAGTAAGAACCTGTCTCAAAATAAAATGAAACAATTGACAGAAAAAAATCAAAATAAAACAAAAAATAAAACAAAATAAATCAAAATTTTCTCTAAATATAAAAATGTATATGATAATTAGAATGTGCTATATAATAATTAATTAGGATTTGCCACTTTAGATACGGCAGATTCCGCAACAAGGCAGGTTGCAGATTCACATACAATTGAAAGCATTAAATCATTGCCCAATCTTTTTTTAGTATCATTATTATTTGTTTAACATATCCTTGCATTTCTTATTTTTTCCACACTATTTCACCCACGTGTTCTAAATTATCATGAATTTAAACAGCTACCCTTCCTTTGCAATGCTTAAAATTCTCTTACTTGTCTCCCCAAGTTGTCACCATCATACCAATTTTCACACGGACGTTAAAGTTGCTGTACCTCAATAAAAAATTAACCATATTTTGCCAAAATTATGTAGGCAGATTATATGCATATTATTTGGAGCTTGTTAATAAAAAAATTCTCTGAATTACAACCAATTTTAAGTTTTGATCTCTTAAAGTTAAAATTATGTTGATATTTGCCAAGATCAGAATAGAAAAAATGATTCACTTGTGAACAGTCTTCCTACGCAGATGTTATTTTGATTTGGGACAGAAAGAACAATAAAGTTAATTTCAAAGCCTATTCAACAAGTTCAAAAACAGGATTAAAGATTATTTCTATTAAGAAGCAAGAGGGTAGAAAATATGAATAATACTTATTTCATCAGCATTCCTTCACTGAACAGTTGTATTTTTAAAATTCAACTGAATCGGATTTTGTGTTAATAACTCTTTCTGTTACTCAGGCAGAAGTTTCTGCAGAGTGGGCGCCAGGTCACTTATTTACCAATGGACCAGGCTCGGCCACAAGACTAAAAGTTGAGTCTTATTCATCTTTTTTTTTTTTATGTGCAATTGCACAACATGAAAGGAAAAGCAGTGACATTAACCATATTCTATTAAAAACTTTTAATTTCTCCTTTAACTACATTTAACTTTTAAATGAATGGTGCCATTTCACTTTTTTATTTATCGAAAGCTGAAAATGATCAATTTAGCCCTAAGGTTCATGTCTATTACCAATTCTGAGCAATATTTAAAGTTTTGTTACAGTGAGAGGGGAATCATTATTAGCATAGAAAAGCAGGAATCATAAAAATTAAGAAGAAATAAAGATCTGAGGGTGTGTATCCAGGGAATTTTCTTTAAATGAGAAGCTATTTGGATGCTTTGGATGGGAAGGATCCCAGGATGGAACCTGGATGGCACAAGTCAACGCTGGCTCCAGCTCTCACTGGGATCATGCAACTGTATGACAGGAAGCCAGAAAATGGACAGCCCCTCTGGCAGAGTGGAAGCTAAACAAGAAGCAGCCGTGACCCAGAGATTGGAGCGGATGTGCTGATTTGCTTAATCTTCTCACATGGCCACAAAAATCCTCCCTAAATAGCACTAGAGACTAAAGCTGAAAGAAATATTTTTGGAATGTAATTTTAAAAATACCCTCCCCACCCCCCCTTCCCGCCTTTGCCACTGCTCACATCCACGAGGGAGGGCAGGGCTGATGGAAGGGCACACACAGGCCTCTAGAGGAGCTCAGCGGCACTACGTTAACCCCCTGGAGCAAAGCACTGGCGTTCCAGTGCCCTTGTGTCCATCAGGTGTCCTCCTCGGAGAGGAGAAGGTCTCAGGTTGACTTCTCCAGTGTGGCCACATCTACATCACTCCAGAAGGCACATCTGGGAGCCAAGAACCCAAAAACACAGGCTGCTTCTAGCTCAGGGACGGGTGGTAAGTGTGTCTACCAGAATAGATACCGGCCACCATGCTCCTGCAGCCCTCGGGCCCTACCTTCTTAATCTTCTTGATGTCCGGATCCTCGTCTTCTTGGTTGCTTTGGTAAGGTCGCATTCGTTCTTTGGTTTTATTCAGAGCGATAATCTAGAACACAAAATTGGTCTATTTCGTGATTTGGGAAATGCTGGATTATAGCCGTAACACACAGGAGGCTCTGCCTACAGAGGTGGTCCACTAAGACCTTCAGGAAGCATCCACTTTTGGTGCTGAGGCAGGGAGATAGAAGCTTCACTCCAGGCCTGGGTCACTAACAAGCACTTACAAGCAGCGAAAGCAGAAAGTGTGGACTGGGATCTGAGTTAGGAGGAAGGTCAGCCCAGAACTCAGCCCAAGCTGCCGTGGACTCATGGAACTCAGTCCAGCGATATGTCCAGCATCTGAAGGTGGCAGCCCCCATGCCCTGTGTCTCCACACACAAGGACAAAGCTCGAAACTCTCATCCTCTCATTGGCTTGTGTCCTCCCACATGTCCACACACAGCAGACCCACATACCCATACATGGCAGACTCATGGATCTCCCTGGAAAGGGGCAAGTGCAAAAGACCTTCAGAACCCGGGACTGGACTGCACCAGTGAGAGAACTCCTCAGAAAAGGGATAAGGACAGAACCACCTAGGATCTTTTCATGGCTCCAGTTCAGACCTGTGACCTGGGAGGGGCACTTCAGGACAGGGGCTTCCAATTGACAAGAGCAAGGCATTTTTAGCCACACTTCTGGTCCTTCCTAATGGTTATTTTGGACTCTGATTGAATCTACAATGGACTCAAAATCATTATTGCTACAAGAATCGATCCAAACACAGTTAGACGTCATAGTCAATGCTTGAATGTCTGATCTCATGAAGGACATTGCGAACCCACAGCACCCCCAACACTGCACTACCCTGACATGATCCCACAGCACTTCTGTAGCCCCCATGCAGATACGGACTGCATCCAGGCCAGTAGCCCAACCAGGGATGTGCTGGTGGAGGAGGCGTTGCCCAGGACAGACCTCAGGTCACCGTAAGGAGGTGACAGCAATCAGGGAACATGAGAATGGACCTGTTGACCAGGAAGTACCTCTGATTTCAGCCTCTCAATCTCTGTGTCTTGATCCTCAAGCTGCTGTCGGAGTTGGTTGGCTGCAATCTTCTCTGTCTCCACGATCTGGACCAGATGGATGTACTTCTGCATTAGCACCTCTCTCTCGATCAAAATGTCTGCATAACTTGGGAGAAGAGGACACAGCTAGTCATCATGACAGCATTCCACTACAGTTCCACATGGAACAGCACACGCTGCATCTACAAAAGAAGTCACGAACACTGTGTGGCTAATGCTACACAAATGTTAACTCTTAGCTCACATTTGGTGCCCTTCAGTGATACAGAATTTGAGTCCTTATCATTTTACATTTCTTTCACTAAGAGTTCAATTTTACAGTGCCTGTCACCCACAAGTTTATCATATAAGTAAGAAAAATGCAAAGAAAGTCTTAACAATTTAAAAAAGAAAGTGGTGTGCCTCCCTTATTCAGAGACCGAGCCTCGTAAATCGAGAGCATGTGGTTTCCAGGGATGCCATTCAAAATGTGTCACCAAGTAAGGTGTCAGTAGACTGGAACAGACCTGCCACCATGCGAACAAGTACAGGGCCACTAGGATGGAGCTGAGTGAGGGAATGGTTAGGACTATCCAAGTACTACCACTGACTTGCTGGGACCAGGAGGTCACCAGTTACTCTCTCCAAAGCCCATGGAAGTGAAAATTCCATCCTAGAGAGAAGTTCTGATACTCTGGGTCCAACTCCAGCAGCCTAGCTGTATCATTCCTCTGGCCACATGCAGTGGAGACACAACTCATTCTTGGAGTTTTACTGAAAATGCAATTCTGTGATATCTGAAATGTAACCTGCAGGGCTTGTGCTATTCGGGTGGTGAGACACCTGTTTCTTCATCCACAGCATCTTTCCCAAATGGCAACGTGGTGCTTGTTGAATATGAGGATATATACTACACTTTATCTCATCTATCATCCTGGTAACCCCCGAAGATGGGATCTGTAATCCCAGAACACTGAGACAGAGCTGGATCCTCAGAGGTTAGACCACACAGTGAGCAGGCAGCAGGTCTGGGTTTCAGTTAGGGCCTGTGGACCACAAGCCCACATTCCTTGGCCACAAGCTAAGCTGCCTCTCATACAGGAATAGCTCCCTGGACAGCAGAAACATCCTGAGATCTCACCCTATCTTCCGCTCACTGACATCCACATGGGACCGTGGGCCATGGCGGCCACATTTACACCACAAATCTGTCCCTGTGACCATGCTGAACAAGTCTAAAGGGATGAATGGCCCAGGCTAACCAAAGAGATCCCTCCCCTGGGAACATGGGGTTGTGCTTCTGCCCTGTCTGCTAGAACTGAGAGGACATGAACTTGAAACTTCAGGCCACGTGGCTGGGTTGCCACATTGGCTACACCCACACCTACATGTCAAAGTGAGTCCCTGAGAGACAAGGACTAAGAAGAGACTCAGGAAAGCAGAGCCAGGAGAGGTGGGAAGTTGGGCAGAGCAGCAACGGCTGCAAGCTTCCTAGCTCCCGCCCCAGCCCCTCGGGACACCTGAGTACAATCCCACCCCAAGGCTCAGGAAGAGAGTCACCTCAGTCTAGCCTTGTGAGACCTTTGAGTAAAGGCATCACTGAGCTACTCCTGAATTCTTGACCCACAGAAATGTCTCATAATAAGCTGTTTATTGTTTTCCTTCTAATTCCTTCTCCCTCTAACCTAAATTAGCTTAAAAGTGGTTTGTGTTACTTGGAACTACATAGTCTGAAGACAATTCCGAAACTGCAGTTGGAGTTTGAGGACTTCGACAGGCCTTAGCACTGACACAAGCTACTCATGCGAGGAAGGAACACAGTATTGGCAGCATGCTTAAGCCACTTGTTCTAAGAAATTGCCCTCAGTGAGCAGAAAGGTCTCATCAGTACAGGCAAGAGGAGGGAGAAGAGCAGGAGGGCAGTGTCCTGGTGGAAGGATGCTTCCTGGGACGTGCAGGAGAAAATAACACTACAGCCCGTGAGAGGACTTGCTGTCATAGGAAGTCTGCCCTTCTCACCCATATCATTAGAAATCTGCCAACCTGATTACAAATATCCAGTAGCAAAGCAGTGTTTCATTTCCTCTTTAAGAAAAGGAAGCAACAAGCCAGCACAGAGTGGAAAGTGCCATCCTGTGAGACTCATCTTGGACATGACCCTTCATTCCCAAGACCCCCTGAGATGCTGGGAAACTGCTTTCTGTTTAAAGAATGGAACCCTAGCAGCATTACAGACACAGGAAAACACTCCATCGACAGATCAGACATTTCATGAAGTTCCATGGGTAGAAAACCAAGCAATCAGGACCAGCTTGGAGGGACGTGAGTGTGAAGGAAACCATGGAGACACTGCAGATGCAGGTCTCACAACAAGGTCCAGCATACTCTGGGCAGAAGCAGCAAAGACAAGGAGGGGGAGAGCCATCCTTATGGACCAGTTCCCCCTCTTCCCATCCCCAAAAACAAAGACGTGAAAGGCACACCTGGAGCGGTGCTGTGGCCCAGGCCACATGCAATGTCAACTCTCCATGGAAGGGGCACCCTCCTAAAGAAACTTCCTACCGAGGGTGTGGTTCCCTGAGAAGACAGAGCTTGGGTTGACTCCAGACATCCACTCCAGTCACAGGGACAACCCAAGCAAGGAAAGGCACTGAAGAGAGCCAGGTGTGCAGCATTAAGTTTCCATCGTGGGACAAATTAACACTAAGCTGAGTGGCCCAACCAACGTGAATTATTATCCCACAGTCACTGAGGGTTAAAGGCCAGGCTCAGTCCAGTCAGAGTCTTAACTCAGGTCCCACATGGTTGTAACGAAGGCATCGGCCAGATGCATCTTACTTTGAGGCCTGACAGAGGAGGAGACCTCTGCCAAGTCTCTTCAGACTTCTGGAGAAAGTCATCTCATAGCTACAGAGCTCACACCCACTTGCCTCTTTGAGGCTTCTTGGAGGTCAGAAGAACATCTCCAGCCTCCTGTGGGGTCTTCTACCTGACTAAGCCCGGCCTATCCTGGTAATCTCCTTCTGATTAACTCAGAGCAAACTGACTTGGGACTGTAAGTACATCTTCAAAACCCCTTTTCCTTTACCATGCAATGTCATCTAGTCAACCCATCATGTTTGCCATATCCTAATGGCTAAGAGGAGTCACAGGTTCCAATTGCGTGGGCTGAAGGGTATGCAGTTACCCAGGGTGGGCCCAGCCTCCTTCTTGCCTTCTGCCCACACTTCTGAAAAGGAGGCTGGCCCATGTTATCCAACCTGCATTCACGGTTGCGAGCAAACCCACACCAGCTACCTCTACTACCCTACAAGTTCTTCATTCAGAAGCAAGAAATGGCAGACACTGGTGAAAACCCGAATCCCCACCAGAACAGGCTCCTGCAGTGGGCAGCGTCTGGGAAGACCCTGACGACCCTGCCTTCTGATGTTCTTGTCCTTGTAGTCCCTTTCCCTTGGGTGGGGGTGGGACCTAAGTGACTCACATGGAAGGAACAGAATATGACAAAAGTAATGATCTGGCCCACCTGAGATTCACTTATGAGGAGGTAGGCATCCACCTTGCTTGTCCACTCTTGCTGTCTGCCAGCTTGCCTGAGGGACACCAGCTGCCAGGGCATATCTGCTCCATGGAGAGGCCCATGTAACACAGAGGCTGAAGGAGGCCCTGGCCCCGGCTGCCTAGGAACCAAGGTCAATTCAACAACTCGGGAACTGAAGGAGGTCCCAACCATGGCTGCCTAGAAACTGAGCTCAATTCAACAACTCAGGGGCTGAAGGAGGCCCCAGTCACAGCCACCTAGGAACCAAGCGCAATCCAACAGTACAGGAGCTGAAGGAGCCCCTAGCCCACAGCCTCCTAGGAACCGAACTCAATCCAACAACAGAGGAGCTGAAGGAGGCCCTGGCCATGGCTGCCTAGGAACCAAGCTCAACCCAACAATTCAGGAGCTGAAGGAGGCCCCAACCACAGCTGCCTAGGAACCAATCTCAATCCAACAATAGCACGAGTGAACTTGGAAGCAGGTCCTTCCCTGCTGAGTGATCAGATGAGAACACATCTGGCCAATGCCTCAATTGCAGCCTTGTGAGACCGTCGGGCAGAGGTACCACTGAGCCACACCTACATTCCTGACCCACAGAAACTAAGCATAATAAATTATTTATTGTTTTAAAAATGGTTAAGCGCCGGGCTTGGTGGCTCAGCCTGTAATCCCGCGCCTTTGGGAGGCTGAGGTGAGTGAATTGCCTGAGCCCGTGGGTTCGAGACCCGCCTGGGCAGCAAGACCTCGTCTCTACAATAAATCAAAAAATCAGACAGGCGTGGTAGCACATGCCTGTAATTCCAGCTACTTGGAAGGCTGAGGTGGAAGGATCGCCTGAGCCCAGCAGGTCGAGGCTGCAGTGGCCGGAAGCGGCCACTGCACTCCAGTCTGGGTGACAGAGTGAGGCTCCAACTCAAAAAAAAAAAAAATTAAAATGGTTAAGCAGTAATAGGTTCAAATACAGCCCCAAATGAACACACAGAAAAGACACTAAAGGAAGTAAGACTAATTCAGGCAACACAGACTAACTCCAGAGAGATATGGAAGGATATCTGGGCCATAAAGAAAAAGTTTTCCATGGAAAAGGAACATCAGGTAACAGGAAGAATTATTGGAAACAAAAAATAAGTACTAAAATTAGATAGGTCAATGGATGCACTAACCCATAACCTGTTCTTGGCTAAAAACTAAGCTGGTGGTCAAAAGAGAAAATAAAGAACACGGGGTGAAAGCACAAAGAGACTGGAAATAGGAGAGGAAGACTGAGCAACATGGAGTACAGACCCAGAAGCCTAATAATTGTCTTTTGGGAGTTCCAGAAGGGAAAACGAGAGCTGAAATGAAGAGAAGGCACTGAAGGAAGGTGAGAAATTTCCCCTGACCTGAACACGGCACAGTTCAACAGAAAGAGTAATCCCCACTCCAGGCAGAATGAATGGCAACATCTTAGCTCTGATGCATCCTGGTGAAATGTCAGTGTTCCAAGGATCCAAAGAGGAACAACAGGCATTTGAAGGAATGTGACTTACCATAGCTCACCTGGGATTCCAGGTGACAAGAGAGACCTAAATTCCTATACCTAG